ACGGTAGTCGATAACCATTTATTAATGAAAGTCTTATTAGAAAACTAGGTCTAATTCCTTTAAATGAAGAAGTTTTGTCAATCTGTACATTCGATACCAAAATGCCTGTTACTAGATTAACACAAGTAGTTGAATTTAATTTGACTTTAAAAATGGGAAGTGTAAGTTAATACATCCATATGCAGTCAATGAGGCATCGGAGCGCCTCCAAAACATAGGCACTTCAAACGGGCTTGAAACTGAGTGGATATAAGCAGAAATTCTGACTGGAGCTGATTATTATTGGGATGTCGTGAAAGCAACTTCTGAGACGAGAAATCCTGACGGATGGTATGAGATTAATACTACTTTAGGGAAAGTATATTGTGGAAAAAGGAAAATAGTGTGCCGTTTTAACCCATTATTTGTGCCAGCAGTAAAGGATAGTCTAAAGGTTAATAAAAGTTCAAAAATTTTGACTAATGTAGAGGACTTCTGGAATCTAGAAGCAATATTAATTAAAGATGCACCAATAGAAAAGGATGATAATAGGACCTTAGAACAATTCTATTGAACCCTACAATCTCGGGAAAACAGGTACTATGTAAGTTGGTTGTTCGGGGAAGATATCTCTAAATTAAATGATAATTATTGGCTTTGTTATCTACGATTAAAGTCGACTCTTAGAAGACTAAAGGAAAAAAACGACCGTCTTTTAAATTGTGATCAAATCTTGAAAGGCCAAGAAAAGAAGAAACATTGAAGAGGCCTCTCAAAAGGATGATTCTTCTTGTTGATTATTTGCATCACCATCCGGTCATGATTCTATCAAAAAGGGCTGCCAAAACTAGGATTTTATATGATGCTTCATTAAAATGAAAAAGGATTTTAAAATTTTGAATGATTGTTTGTATCGTGGACGCGTGATGTTGCCGGATTTATGTGGAATATTATTACGTTTTTGTATGCATAATGTCGCGGTAGTGGCAGAAATACAAGAAGCATCTCTAGAACTGGGGCTCCACGAGAAAAGTAGAGACGTTACGCGTTTCTTATGGTTAAAGGATTTAACGAAAAATGTCCAAAAGGATAGTCGGTTTATAAGGGTGGTGTTTGGAAGGGTTTCCAATCTATTCCTTCTAGCCGCAACATCAAAACACCACCTAAAGGAGGAAGAAAAAACCGAAAGAAGAAATGGAAGGACAACTCATACGAAAACATTAAAGGATTTCATTGGCGAAATCTATGTTGACAATTTCATAACCGGATTGAAGAACATTGAGGGGGCTGGGAATCTATATCAACTGATGAAAGACGTTCTTCACTGGGCCTCCGTGAACTTACTCCGATTGGTCTTTTGACCTAAAAGATTTAAAAAGTATTATCAGCAAAGAAGAGAGAGACCAAGGAAGAACGATTAAACTCCTGAGAATAAGTCGGCGTAAGGAGAAGGATATTCTACAAACGAACCTAAAGAAAGAAAAGAGCATCAAAAGAAGCTGCAAAAAAGCTGAAGAATTCTTACCTTGCTGCTAGGCAGTAAGATAATAGATAGAAGCAGAATTCAACAATGATTCAAAAATGCGCGAAGGTCTAGTGGCCGTTTACTTGAGCAAACACTTGATAGCTCGGAATTTTGTCGCAGCCGGAAAAATCTGTAAAGAGAAAAGAAGAACGCTTTATTTTTTATTTAAGCTACCAACCTGGCAACATTTTTCTGTTTACAAAAAAAAGAAAAAACCAGACTGTGCATTGCTAAATACCAGAATTATAAAAATAATATCTATTAAAGCTGAGGCAGATGATTGCTAATTGATACTTGTTTTAAATCAAATTCTCCAGTATTAGACAAAGTTGCCTGCTCATTTTTTCACAACAGTAAGTATTAAATGCTGAAAACGATAGAAATTCGATAATACATTGGTGGTGATTAGTATTTTAGGCGAGCAGAAGAAGCCCGCCAAACAAAATGACCATTAATAGGTCATAACAACAATGCCAATTTAGGTATGGTGATAGTAAACCCTTTTTTTTACAGAGTGCCCTACAACAACGATTATGCAAAAGAGTAAAAGCAAAATTTGTTTGCTCCCTGCAACACAAGACTGATAAGATTACAAGAAGCCCTTCCCCTGTGGAAAAGTTTAAATTTGCTTGGTAAAGCAGGAATACATATACCTTGTTCTACCTTTAGTATTATAATGTCTATACCATGGATACCTAATTTTTATAAACTGCTTTTTGCAATACTGTGGACAGTTGTTCCAGGTTACATGGCTTTTTTGAGTATTCGGGCCTACTTGAATACAGAGAATGAAAGCAAGGTAATTTTTACTACCCTGATAATAGGGCTATTTATTCTGAATTTCAAAACAGATATTTTCCTTATGTATACGGCACAAAAAGTATTCATCAATAAGGGTTTACTGTGAATGATTAAACTTCTCTTTAATTACTTTCTAATCAAATCACTGCAACGTACAAAAGCAAAAGATGAAGGAAACCTAACTACTCAAGGCCTTTGAATGATTGGAACATTTCCTAACGTTTACTAACTCGAAAGATTACTGTTCGCTTAAAAAACGTTTTACAGAATCAATCAAAGGTCGTTTGGAAGAAAAAAATCCAGTGAAAGTAAGGAGAACATGAAATAGAAGAAGATCGGGTTACAGTTCTCGCTGTCAAGCCGCATTATGGACCGACCATCCGGGATAACGAGCTGTTCTTCCGTAGAGAACAGTATCAAAGTGAAGATCAAATTGAAAAGGTACAACAGTGGGAATACTTAATGTGTATATCGCAGGAATATGCAGATGATCGAATTAGGACAGCTATGATGAGCACCGTAGCGAAACCAAAAAAAAATCAAGTGCGCAGCTTGCATGATCCCCCCCCCCTTCCCCCCAAGTAACCGCCAAGCAGAATTAGAATTCACTATTCCATATAAGGAAGGAACGATTCAAGAGAACACGTTCTCTAAACGAGTAAAATTTTGGGTTCTCGAAACGGAACTCAGGATTGAGACTCCTCATCACAGCATGCGCTCCAATCGAAGTGGGATGGCGACCACCATATTAGAAGTGCATATCCAACCTAACGACATCATCGTGAAAACGTGGATGAACAATGACCAGGTAGGTCTAGCACTTCACTATATCCCTAAATTATTTCTGGAGAATCAGCAAGAGACGTGGGACTTGGACTTTTATCTCAATCCAGATTCCGTTGGAATCCCCTTAATCATGCACAGGTATATATAAAAAGCTATATATATATATATATATATATATATATATATATATATACGTATATATATATATATATATATATATATATATATATATATAATGCTATTTCAAAAATTTTAAGGAACGCACAAAATGCTGAAGATATAAGGAGCGAAGCGCTCAAATGTCTTTTAGGACTATCACATAATCACAAGGGGATCCAACTTGCTGAACAGCAACCAAAATTCATTTCGGATATGACCGCGCAACGCTGTCGAAGCCTAAATCAACCTCACCGAGAACTAGCGCGCACAATCCTTGTGAAAAATGACCCGATAGTGTTTTCTCAGGCCCCAGCGGGCACTGGGAAGACATTTACGGTGGCAATATGTTTATGTGAACTAATGGCTCAAGAAGGAATCGTGTTGCTGGCAGCGCCCAACAACTTAGCTATACAAAGCATAGCCCAAAAGGTGCTCAAGTTGGAACCAACTATTCCGATTGGCAATCTACTATTTCTACAAGCACCCCTTTCGGAGAAGATATATAGCGGCTCTGTCGAGGACTTGTGGACTCGTTACCGAATTTCGGAGACCTTACATCACATGCAAATGATAGGGGTAGCTGAAGCATACACGGAATTCGCTATCGAATACACAGGAAGGAGATTAAAACACGATGGGCAATCGTACAAAGAGGGCGAAGCACGCCAATTACTGTTGAAAATTAAAACTCCTCGAATAATCTTTGGCACGATTCAATTAATTTTAACCTTTATTACGCAATGGGGACAACATCATGATTCAGCTGATCTCAGTTATTCGATCATTGATGAAGGAGGCTCAGTACGAGAAAGTACTTTTTCAAGTATGGTTTCCATGTTACCTAATTTTGAAAAAATCTTCATTACAGGAGATAAATTCCAACTGTCGCCCTACACTAGAAACTTACCAAAGCAAATCATTCCGTATGGACGCCGATGGGCCATTCATCAATTGACAATGAATGATCAAATCACGCAGATTGCACTAAAGGAAAACTATCAAAGTCACCCGCAATTGGTGGAGGATATTTCCAAAGCTGCCTACAAGGGCCAACTAATACCCAAGCTTAACCTCGATCAGCGGGCTATGTGGCGCAATTTAGAATTTCCCGGTCGGCACGCAACAACTCCAATTCTCTTTGTCCAAGTGATGGGACAAGAGCAACGATCATTCACAAAAAGTTTGATCAACCAAGACTACAACCAAGTGGCTCTCCAGATCTGGAGATATATCATTACTAAATTGCCAGCCGCAATCATTGCCATTCTTTTTTATTATGAGGCATCTGTAGCCTATTTAAAAAATTGTAATCCCTTCCTTCCCGTTTATACAGTGAACCAATTTCAGGGTCAAGAAGCTGACATGGTCATACTCATTACAATCCGTACAGGAATAGCAGAGAATGTATCACCGTATCAATGCAGCTTTTTGTTTGGTTTTCAAAGAACAACAGTGGCGTTATCGCGAGCGCGAGAAAGCTTATCCATTATTGGCGATCAGAATCTACTGTATAGAAGCGAGCTGTGGAGGTGTGTTACCTAAACAACTATGACATTGTTTGTGAATTGACAGAATTAAACTTTTAGCTGGAGGCACACTTTGGACATGACGCGTAATATTTGTTCTAATCGTATTTTTGTAACATTTTGTTTTGTATATATATTTTTTTGTATATACATATCTTTTTTGTTTTTAAAAGGTTTTTTTTTGTTTTATAAGGCATATACATATGTACATATGTATCTAATGATTGCGTTAGCAATAGAGGCTGAAGCCTACTCAAAAAGGTTTATCTAGTCCACTGCTGGGGAATCTTCTCCTTTCTTTGCGAACACCAATGCGGCCTAGTTGTAAAAAGATGACGGTCCACAGGTGACGGTCATCGCAGTCTCCGAGTGTTGGCACTTAACAAGTGCATAGCGATTAAAGGAGCTCGGGATGGATCCGGATGATCAACTCAATGTGGACTCACCATCTAGCCTCAGAAGGAAGTTGTGAATTGTTACAGCATATTCAGGTGAAAGATTAATGATAGCCGAGGATGTAATGTCTCAATGGTAGACACAACATTAAAATCGGTTTTACATTGGAAATATCGGCACATCGTTACCAGCTGGCCACTATCACCAAGGTCTAGCGATATCTGATATAAAGGCGAGCATAGAAGGATTTGTCGAGACAAGCACGAGGTTCTCTCTCTCGGCAATATTGGACTTCGGTTATCTACGTCGGAAAAGACTTCACGTGCCAAAAGCTTCAGCTCCCATTCTATCTAATTGTCTTTGGTTTTATAAATTACTTCCTTGCCGGTATTCTGTCTTTTCATTATCTATTGGATCCTTTTGTGTGCAAATCTTACTTTTTCTATTTAAGTTGTGTTTCATTTTGTTTCAAATTTTTTGTCAACAAAATTTAGATTATCGATCGTTAGCCAAACGCAGCAAAGATCTCACATATAATATAAAGTGTCGTGAAATATCGACCAGCGAGACTGAAGAGCTTGAGAAAAAATTTTAAAAGTCACGACATAATCCTTTTGAAAAAGAAAATAGGTGTTGAACTTTAAGCCTAAATTGTCGTGGGTGTCAATCTGGCATTAAAACTCATCTCTTAAAAGCAGACAAAGGTAACTTCTATTCATAGAGGGTGCCACTAAAAACCGACTTGTAAAATTACAGAATTTTAAATAAAAGGATTACAGAAGATGTGCTTTAAAACTGCCTTTGATGAGACAAGTGTAATACTTTAAACTTTTTAATTAACCTGTTTTATTGCAATCAGCTGTTTTTTCCTTTGCTTCAAAGCAAGTGATATCTGCATAAAAAATTTGTAATACCTCAAAAATAACAAACGAAGACATTAAAACTGTACTATCATATATACAGTAACATCACACATAAATGATAATCCTCTTTTTGCATAATATTGCAAACTACTAGAAAAGGAAGTGAACGTCACACAAAACTAAAAACACCTTCAAATTCTTCGTTGCATCATAAAAACACAAAACACATATTATGTAACATTAATCATCCTCAGTTCCAACTACTACTATAACAGCAATTAATTTTACGATATTGACATCTTAATCAGAACGTATGCCTCAAGTTTTTCTATTGTTAACATTTCCATAATATTACTCGAAGACAGTCTAATGCCTCGAGGATTTGTCACTAATATACATGTGTCCTGTAGAGCTTTGGTAGATAACAGTTATAAATAACTATACGTTCGTTCA